AATCAACCCGCTTAGAGGCGGTTGAACACCCAGCGGCTTCGACTCTCCCTAATGGTCACACATCTACTATACCTTCAGAATATCCACAAGACGCAACAGGATCCCACCTTTCGGTACCTCCTTTAGGACCAGAGGAACAATCTGTAACCTCCTCCGATACAACTGCATCGCTGCCCCCATCAAGTCCGCGGAGTGACCTTTCCTCAGCCGGCGATGCTCCATTCCCAACTCATCTCAACGCGGAAGATCTTTCGAGGTTCGACCCATCACGCCTCATGCATCGACACACAACTTCTATCTCCGAAGCCAGCGTTCGTACTGAGCCCCCGTCCTCTCCGGGGCCTGATAATTGGATGTCATCGTCTATACCCGCACACAGTCTTGAAGCTTCTGACTCTGCTGCAACCATACAAGAGACGGATCTCCGTGAACTGGATGCGAGCATGGTATCCCCACAGGAGGATCTTTCAATGTATCTCGCTGAAGTTCCAATGATAGTCGCCACGACACCCACCCCGACAACCAAAGCGACTCTGTATCCTTTGCAGTCAGCACTGACTCCGCGACCTGCCGTGGGCGAATTATCGGAGAATCCTACTGTCGATTCCGCCTCTGAAATGCATGAGGGAGAGGTTGAATCAACAACACCTCAGCCACTATCCGAAGAGCTTGTGGAACATCTCCGAGAAGCACCCCGGGCGCTCACCATACCAGGTTTCTTGGCTGGGCAGCCCAGAACGCTGGAGGAAGATCAGCAATCTGAGTCGGCGGAGACGTCGATCTCGGACGCGAGCCATGTGCCGGTTGCCCCGGGCACTCCCAGGGGAACAATCACACCCATCGGAACTCCAACAGTTGAGGACCGTCGCCTTGTGTTTCCCATTATCTCTCCATCTCCCCTCCGACAGAACGTGGTGTCCGTCGATGACACATACGAGGTACGAAATGCGATCACATTATTGTTGTGGGATACTAAATTATCCCGCAGGTGCCGAACGACCCTGATGCGTCCAACATCACTGACACAACGTTGTCCCCTCCGTTCGAAGACCTTGAGAAAGAAACACCGTCAGTCCTGGCAGAAGCTGCCGACGCGTCTCCTGTTACCACCGCTCCACCGGTCCCTGTTGAAGCGACTGGAGTTGCACTCACTGCAGGTGCCGCGGTTGTTGCGATTGGGCAATCTGTTTCCGAGGCTACATCTATGGGTGTGACACCCACTACCGGTTATCAACCACAAGGCAAGATTGAGCACACTGAAGCTGAATCGAAAGCCAATGAGTGGTACCTCAAAGAATTGCAGTGGTCTATGACCGGGCATCCAGCCGACAAAAAGGCAATCCGTGTCATTACTCAAGAGGTCAACGGGAGTTGCTCTCTCATTGCGCTCTGTAAGGGTCCGTAGTTCGTTGCACCTCCATTGCTGATCTTTCACACAGGCAATGCCTTGATTCTCAAGGGAGATATTGAGATTCTTCCTCCGACCCGCAAGTCGGTTTCGTATGACTATCTTTCGTCTCTTGTGGCAATGTTCCTCCTCACCAATCGTGAATCTTCAAGTCTCGGGGCCGCTCTTTCAGCCTTACCCAGTACTCGCTCCGGTCTTGACGTGGATCCGTCGTTCACAAGCATCGATGGTTTCAAAGCTCGAGTCCGATCCAAAAGTGATGATGGAACGGGAGAATTGGCTCTTTTCCGTCTTGCTGGTGTGCCTCTCCTTCATGGATGGGTGGTCGACCCTAGCGCCGCCGAATACAACATGATGTCAAAGATTGGGGACTACGATTCAGCTGTAGAAGTCATTGCAGCCGGTGATGAACTGACTGGTGGACAACTGGTCGGAAATTATGCAGACGTTTCGCTTGAGGCACTGAACAACCCCCAATGGACTGCGCAACAACGCAGTACTGTGGAAAGTGGTAAGAAGTTGGACTCGAGAGGGAGACAGTATGCTGATCTCCGCTTAGCTATTACTGCGCAAAAGTTCTTGAAATCTTCCAGCCATCAGTTGACCTACCACGGTCTGTTCAGCATTACTTCATCACTGAGGCCACATGAACTTGCCGTTCTCTTCCGAAATTCGCACCTGTCTGTCATCTATAAGCGGCCTGCACTGGATGGTGCAGAAGAAACGTTGTACACGTTGGTTACCGACAGTTCCTTGCGTAATGAACCGGCCGTCGTTTGGGAAACGATGCGTGATATTGAGGGCGCACTTGACTTTGTAGACAGCGATTTCCGCCCATCTAGCACCCTTGGGGGCGACTGGGCCGGTCACAAGGATGCACCGGATGATAGAAGCGAGCATGAAGACGGGTTTTACGACCGAGAGTGAGTTCGCCACGTAAACAGCGTAGAATTCATTCTAACACCATGCCAAGTCTCGCGCTTGCCGAGCATCTTCAAGCTGAGGAAAACGCAAAGGCGAACGAGGTTCCCTCCCAACCTCCTCTGGCCCACACGCGCGACCCAGCATCGCTCAGCGTCCCTACACGTGTGCGACAGATCTCGACTACGTCCATAATGACACAGCATCCTCCTGGTGCTTGGATCAGCAAGTCCCCGTCTATGCCGCAGTGGACCGAGTCGCACGAGACATCGGCAAGCGGCGAGTTCTCCCCGCAGAATGTGTCGAGCGAGTCCTCTCTCCGCAGGGCAGAGTCTCAGAGGCAAACCCACCAACAGGAGGAAGTCAAGATCAAGGAAGAGAAGAAGCGCAGGTGCACCATTATGTGATGCTCTCATTTACCAGCTATTACGAAATTTCTTACGAATCACGATCTCCGCTTAGTCTAACGTTTGGGAAATATTTCTCCATTTTTTTCTTTACTAGTTACGACCCTGGCACGAACACTCCTCATCTCCATATGCCTTCAATCCCTGTTTGCAAAGCAGACTTGTCAATAGATACCCTACTTATGCAATTGCAGTCGTTCGGTCCCATTGCTGGTGCAGAGAACAGGTGTCACAGCTCGAGGAGAGAAGCAGCGGAGTGAGATCATGGTCACTAATAATATCATTCCTACAAATCAAACAACAGCGCCCTTCATGGCCTCTCCCTATCACACATCTCACACCTCGGCATAAGCCAATCATTCACAAACGTACACATCGCACATGCCCACTTCTCGTCTTCATGCTTTCCCGGCCCATCCAGCCTTTGTCCCCTGTCGGGAATGTCCTCCGGTTGTCGCGGCTGCGTAGGTATTGTTGGCCCTAGCCTGGACTGGTTCAGTTCGGCTGGTCCGGGTGGAGGAGAGGTAGGGTTAAGGGTGAGAGGTCGTTTATCTTGCTTCTCCTTCAGTGACGCGGCTTGTAAGGAGTCGCTGTTTCCCTTCTGCTTTCCCTTCCGCTTTTCTTTGCTCGTAGGGCGGCCGTTACCTGCACCATTGGGGGTTGACAACGGCGCATGCGCATGCCCAGAAGAGAAAAATACGATGTCCTCTCCCTGGAACGAGTCCGTGAGCTCCTCTCCAGTAAGGTCGATCACCCCTCCCCGGCCGCTCGACACCACCTGATCGTGCGGATTAACTCCCTGGCCACCACTGCCTTTGCCCTTCTCTCCATTCGTAGGGTGATCGTTTCCTTTAGGAGCAGACGGAGCGTGCGCATGCGCCCTCTCGCTTGAAGAGAGGAAAACGAAGTCTTCTCCCTGGAGCATATCTTCCACATCCGGTAGCTCTTCCTCAGTGAGGTCTATAACTCCCCCTCTTCCCCAGCCCGAAGCTCCACCAGAAGTTCCAGAAGCGCTCAAAGGCGAGGTGCGCAGGAGGTCCAGTTCCTCGAGTTTCATTTGTCGGAGTAACCCAGCGCGGCGCGTTTCGTCGTCGCTCTCGGGCTCATCAACTTCATCGTCATCCTCCTCATCCTCGCTCTCCTCTTCGCTCTTCTCCTCCTCCTCCTTCGTGGGTTGTAGAGCCCGCAACCTCCGCTCAGCAGCCTCGGCGCGCGCGTCCCTTGCAGTTTGAGACCGGACTCTCCAAACCTTCGCCCTTCCCTTCTCCTCCGCACTTCCACCTAGTCTTTCTCCTCCATCTCCGAACAGTTCCTTCCTGACCCTTGCCCCCGGCTTCCTCTTCTTCGTCTTCCCAGTTTTGGCACCTTCCTTCCGATGTGTATGTTTCCTCTTCCTCCTTTTCGCACTTTGCTTGATCCCCGCTCCACCACAAGTATACTCCGGCAGCTCATCCTGCGCAACCTCTAACGTGCCACCAACTCGTGCCCCATCCCCCATCCTGATCCCAGCGCTCCACATCCCATCCCCCTCGTACCCTCTCCTCCTTAGTGCCTCTACTTCCCCATTGAGCTGTCTCCAAAGTGCCTGAAAAGGTGCGGCATGATGCATATGCTTGATATGTGCAAGTTCGTGACAGAACGTATTGAGGAGCCAGTTTAGGGGGTAGAACGTTCCCGATGGACGACGGAGGACGAGTTCGATCGTTTCCCCTGCGTTCCAGTTGCGCCCGGAGAACACCCGGTTGAACTCGTATTCTTCTAGCGAGTTGACGGTAAAACCGTGTTTCTTCATTATGGGTCTAACCATAGCAGTACCTATGGTCAGCGGTTCCCTTCTGAGGTCAGAGACGGTAGTGAGACGTACTTGACCTGTGCTGCCAGCGCCCGCAGAAGCTCGTGCGCGGCTTTCTCATCTTCTGTGGTTGCTGCAGGAAGGGCATTGGTGAAGTTGACATAAGGATTGGGATTGGAGGTCTTTTCATTCAGACGAAGGTGGACCATGGTCGTTGTTGACCAAGTGTTGTGCCTTTCTGTGACTGGAAATGTGTCGACTCATCAAGTAAATGTTGAGAGTCATTCACGTGAGAGTCACATGAATGACGACACTGTAGCACAGCCACAGTCTTTCACGTGCCCGCCCGTTCAACCAAAGAAGACGGGAAAAGGGGCGGCGTCCTCATCAGCACGCCGACGACGGTCAACGTATGGTACAGGCAATTGGGGAACGTGCTTGGGCGCATATATCTTGCTTTGACAGGTTGTAGTCCACCGTCCACCTTGACTCTCAACCTCCATCTCTGTCCACTTCCACTATCCACTCAACATCCACCACCGTCCACATCCTCCACTCCCCTCCTCCCTCCTCCACCATCCAAAACAACAAAAGCGCGAGACACCATGGCACTCCCACCCGATGCCGCCTCATCACACCACGCATTCACAAACACTCCTGAACCGGAACGTAGGATGCGTATTGCCGTCCTCACTTCAGGAGGTGATAGCGCGGGGATGAACGCGGCTGTCAGGGCTGTCGTCAAGGCTGGTATTAGCAAGTGCGTTTTGTTTCAACTATATGCGTCGCGTTCTGATCTGCGTGTAGAGGTTGTGAGTCATACGTAGTGCGTGAAGGATATGAAGGTCTAGTTAGGGGAAACACGGCCCCTCTCACCCCGCGACGGGTTGCACAGAGGCATCTACCCCCCGAACGGCTAGCGCGATTCAGCAACGAGGCACTTGTGAAAAACCTGAGCTTTGGAGAGGGACCGGCACTGAAAGAAGGCGCAGGGGATGCCGACGATGACGAGGAGGGCGGGACGCTTAAAGGGAGGTATATCGTCCAGGTGGGATGGGATGATGTGCGGGGGTGGATGGGCGAGGTATGGTCTTCCGCGTTCCTCGCTGGACATCGGACATCTCGTGCAGCGAGTTTGTGGGAGTAGAAGTTCTGATCATGCGTGGTCTAGGGAGGCACTTTCATCGGCTCTGCCCGTTCAGCCACCTTCCGTACCCCCGAGGGACGCTTGAAGGCGGCGCATAACTTGATCAAGGAAGGCATTGATGGACTCGTAGTATGTGGAGGAGATGGCTCCCTCACGGGTGCGGACAGACTGCGCTCAGAGTGGCCGGAGCTGGTACAACAACTGTTGGCTAGTGGTGGGTTTACTGTTCCGTCAAATATGGTGCGAGACGGGAGTGTTGATAAACTGCGCCAATTAGGGGAGATCAACGAGCACCAAGCCGCGCTCTACAGTCATCTCAAGATCGTTGGGCTCGTCGGGTCAATCGACAACGACATGGCGCTCACCGATTTGACGATTGGCGCGCCTACCGCCCTCCAACGGATCTGCGAAGCCATCGATAACATCAACAGCACCGCGGCGTCGCATAGTCGTGCGTTTGTGGTGGAGGTTATGGGGAGGCATTGTGGTTGGTTGGCGCTGATGGCGGGCGTAAGTGCGGGGGCGGACTATGTGTTCATCCCTGAGCAGCCGCCCAAGAGCGAACCTTGGGAAGAGGAGATGTGCGAGGTTATCAAGAGGGTACGTCCGTATTCCTCAGTGTTCCGCTCTGTTAGTACCTCTCACCACCGTGTACTAATGTTCTATACCGCTGTGTAGCACCGTGAGGTCGGCAAACGCAAAACGATCGTCATTGTCGCCGAAGGCGCACATGATCGTGACCTCAACCCGATCAAAGCAGAAAAGGTCAAGGAAGTGTTGTCTAACGTCCTCAAGCTTGATACGAGGGTGACGACGCTGGGTCATACCCAGAGAGGAGGGAGGCCTGTGGCGATGGATCGGATTCTGGTGAGCCTTACGTTTGAAGTACGAGATGCAACATCGCTGATCCGATGCTGTTGTAGCCCACGCTGCAAGGCATCGACGCTGTGAACGCACTGCTCGAAGCTACCCCATCTCAACCGTCGTACATGATCGGCATCCGCGAGAATAAGATCCTGCGTATCCCCCTCGTCGACGCAGTGCAGCAAACTCAGGCTGTAGCGGCAGCGATTGAAGCGCGCGATTTTGCAAAAGCGATGGGCTTGCGAGACCCGGAGTTTGATCAGTTTGTTCATGCGTTTAACATGACGAGCACATTGGATAAGGGGAATCGGCTGCCCAAGGAAAAGAGGCTCAGGGTGGCTATCTTGCAGTACGCCTCTTATATATACCGAAGAACGTGGATGACTTATTGCTTGCAGTATGGGTGCCCCTGCTGGTGGGATGAACGCCGCTACCCGCACTGCCGTCCGGTACTGTCTTTCCAAAGGCCACAAGCCACTATGCATCAACAACGGCTTTAAGGGCCTACTGGATGACAACGTTGTCGAGCTCTCCTGGCTCAAAGTGGACAATTGGACCGCACGGGGTGGTTCCGAGCTAGGGACAAACCGTACCTTGCCGGATATTGACCTCGGCGGGCTAGCGACTAAGTTCCAGCAACACCAGTTCGACGCGCTATTCATGATCGGCGGGTTTGAAGCTTTCTCGGCTCTCTTGATCCTTGAACGCGCAAGGAAAGACTACCCGGCGTTTAATCTCCCTATGGTCCATCTTCCAGCTACGATATCGAACAACGTCCCCTTGACGGACTTCAGCCTGGGGTGTGATACCAGCTTGAATGCGCTGGTAGACGCGTGCGACGCTATCAGGCAGAGCGCGTCCGCAAGCAGGAACAGGGTGTTTGTCGTCGAGACCCAGGGCGGGCAATGCGGGTATATCGCCGCAGTGGGTGCGCTGGCCGTAAGTGTTTTACCCGAGGGCTGAGCAGAGCGCTGATGGCTACAGACGGGCGCGGTGCTTGTTTATACTCCCGAGCAGGGAATAAATCTGGACACTCTTCGCGCAGATGTACGCTTCCTCAAGGCGAGGTTCATGCTTGATGAGAAGGGGAAGAGTGAGGGTCGTCTTATTCTCAGGTATGAGAATCGCTCCGACTGCTGTCTTTCGCTGAAATTGGCCCAGGAATGAGAAGTCTTCCGATGTGTACTCCACCGAACTGATCACGAACATTCTCAAAGAAGAAGGCGGTGACCTCTTCGACTCCCGCTCCGCTTCTCTGGGGCACACACTTCAAGGCGGCATCCCCTCGCCCATCGACCGGGCGCGTGCTGTCCGCCTGACGATGATGTGCATGGAGTTCCTAGAAAGGCACGCACATGAGCAGCTCCAGTACCCACCGCACCGGAGGCGTGGGACCCGCGACACAGCAGCGGTAATCACCATCCAAGGCTCGATGATCAAATTCGTCCCTGTGGACGAGATGGTGCAGCACGCAGATATGAAGAAACGGAGAGGGAAGCATACGTGGTGGGAAGGGATGAAAGACCTTGCCGAGCTCCTGGGTGGGAGGACGGACCTGGTCGCGCATAAGTTTGATGTTAATCCGCCGCATCATCATGAACCGTATCAGGCGCCTCGCTGATTGGGACATTAATCACCTATGGTACTGTATTTAATGCTAGGGACTAGTCGCACACTTCAATATATTGGTTTTCACCTCTCAATCTGAGTGGTTCGCTCCCGTTATCCCCATGGTAAGCTTTGGTGTTGACGGTACGTTTCTCACTACGAAAAAGTGGCAATCACCGAATAGAAGACGTTTTTTTTTTGAATTAAAAAGTAACATTGAAAGTGTAAATGCTACAAAACCTTAAATCCCTCGCATACCGAAAATCGACCAAAATATCGAACTGTCTCAGCCGAGGATCGAACTCAGGACCTTACGCGACCACATAATGTGAGGCGTACGTGATAACCAACTACACCACCGAGACGAGACTTCCTGTCTCCCAAATCTCAACCTCATGATTATGTAGTTTTCTTCACTTTTTTCGTAGCTAGAAAGCCTATCCCTCGACACATTCCAAGTTTCGTACCGCCAGAGATAGGTTCACTTAGAAAGCAGGTGTTGATCCTTTTGGCGTACCTCCGATCCCTGTAATACAAAGCATGAATGAGGAGTTATGGTTATAAGTGGTTTTTTTCAAATTACTAATTTATCTTTATTTTTTGATCGTTCGGGCTCGGATCCTCGAGCTGCCGTTATTATGTCTTCAGAAGTACGGCCGAATGGGAAGCCAAGAGCGAGTAGAAAGTTTACCGAACAACCGATTGGTGATGTGACTCTTGGGATCGGGCCGCTGGTGAGAAGATTTGGTATTGCCCGGGCCTGAGAATCACAGGCGAATATGTAGACAGAAGGTCGTGCCCTTCATTTGTTAACCAATTGAAGACAACATCCCTCAGTGAACGCTTTCGCCAAGGCCTAGGTTATTCGTTCCATGCAAGATAAAATGGCGCCTCAGCCTGTATTGACAGTGATCCAGAGACACTAGTCAGCTAGTGGATCCACCACCACGTAACCCTATCCACCAAGCCTCCCGGAACGCCGAAAACTCACCAAGCAAGAAAGCAGCAGCGCACGTTCAGGACAACGGAAGCGCGGACCCACGTGAATTGTCAACATGGTCAGGGACCGCTGGGAAGTTGCTGTCCGCATGTTCCTCATCGTCATCCCATTTGGCTTCCTTCCTCCATTCCCGTGCCCAACCCGGCCGCCCGCTGTCCTCTTCCACCATCCGCATGAGAAGAATACTGTCCAGCTAATGATATCAATCTAATCAGACACGTGCTCTACTGCCGTCTGATGTCTGTCGGTCATGGAGACACGGATTGTCCGAAGGGAATATCTCAGACAGGCAATGAAGCAGTACATAAACAGCAATTCATGACCGCTGGAATGTAGTCCACGCAGGCGAACAGTCTTTCAACAGTGATATCAAGCATCATCATGCAGTTCACTAGCTTCGTTGCGCTTGTGCTCGCCGCTTCGGCCTCGGCGCTCAATATCACCGTTCTCCAGCACGGTGTGCCTCTGGCCCCTAGCCCGCTGCCTCTTCCTGGTGCAGCCAAGGACTGCGATGAGATCGTTAACGCGTTCTCCCATCTTGGGAGGACGACGGTTTGGAACCTTGTGCAGAAGATCAAAATGCAGGGTGATACTGTGCGTGCTATCATGCCTCAGGAGATCTGATACTGATTGTAAACGCAGTACGAGCCCGAGGGCCTTGTTCGCATCGGTGACGACCGCTTCTTCGTCTCCGCCGGCGAGTACACTGCACCCACGACCTCGTACGGAAACGGCACAATCATCAACGGCACTGATCGTCAGCCCGGTGCCGGCTTTGCCCACATCATCATCTTCGATGGGAACGGCACTCGCATCGCCGACGCGACCCTGACCCAGGAAGGTGCGATCGAGTACCACAACGGCGGCATCGACTACGACGGCAAGTACATCTGGGCTACTATCGCCCAGTATCGGGCGAACGCCACTGCCACGCTCGTGCGCATCGACCCCCTCACGATCGACATGACCACCATTCTGCATATTGCTGACCACCAGGGCGGTGTGGTGCACGACGTAGACACTGGCAACCTGCATATGCTCAACTGGGGCAGCCGGAATGCCTCCACCTGGAACCTCAACTACGTCGCTGCCCCGTACCCGGAGTTCACTCGCCCTCGTGCGATCACTCGCAACCCGTCGTACTACGCCGACTACCAGGACTGCAAGTTCCTCGGCCACCCAGCCCAGTTTGACTACCGCGGGGTGATGCTCTGCTCTGGCGTGACGGGCATCTACGGGACGCAGATCGGAGGCATCGCTATCGTCGATCTGAAGACTATGGTCCCGCTCATGGAGGTGCCCATCACGATGATCAGCGACCTTGGCGTGCTCGTCACCGAGAATCCTGTCGACGTCGCTATGGTCGACGGCAAGCTCCGTGTGTACTTCATGCCTGACCAGCATAACTCTACTCTCTACGTGTACGAGCCTACTGCTGCGAGCCCCTTTGAGTTCGGCGGTGGATTCGAGTAGATGCTCTGACACGCATTTCACCCACCCTGATTCTTGGTCGGCGGGAAAGGTAGCATATATGCGCGGAATTTCTATCGGAATATCCTCTATCTTGGTAACAATCATGTAAAAGGCATGTGCCGCATGGCCCACAACCGTAATAAGAATAACGTCGCTTCTCGACATGCTCAGTGCTTGCCCTGGGAAGGAACTTTGCCGCCGTCCACTGCATCCTGAATACCCTCGGCTGCCTTCTGACCCGTTCCTCCGATGGCTCCCTTGGAAGTGAACAGCTTGCCGATGGTGCCGTTCTTGTCAAACGGACCACCAACTATGGTCAGTCAGCATATGCGCTCCGCTGAGAGAGAGGAGCTGAACACCTTTCTGGGCGGTACCGCCAATTGCTCCATCAGCCTCGAACTCCTTGCCGATAGAGCCATCCTACACATGAATCAATACCTTCGCTCGATGACGAACGTACAAGCTGACCTTCTTGAGCGCGCCAGCGGCGTCTTTCAGCGTGTTGCCGGCAGAGGAGTACATCCTGGCCGAAGCTGGGGAGAGGACAGTGCGACGAATGGCAAAGAGGGACATGATGTATTGCGGGTGTTCTCACTTGGGTTGTGTTCAATGGGGAGCGAATGGGCTTGCTTTATATAGGAACATATTGACCAGGAAGTAGGAGAGAATCTAAGGTTTGGAGGATGACGTCTTTCCTTCACAAGGATCTCGATCTCGCCGATCACCTCAGACATCTCCCTCCCCGTCACAAAATTGCGCATATTCTTGCTACACCGTAGACGACGACCAGATTAGCTTGAATTACATATGAACACATATTCATTAGAAACAGTTTGTTAGTTGTATGTGAATGTACAGCGTCTAGAGACGCGTTGATGCTGGGTATCATGTTCCGGCTTATTGATTTCAAAATAATCATATAGCCCAGCCAGCCGTCGTCCCATTTCCTTGCGCATATACCGGATGCCCAAACTTGTCGCCCAAATGCCCAAAAAGCGAAAGAGAATGTCATATCATACAAGTTGCACCTAGAGCTCCGTCAAGGTGCGGCAGGCGTTATCCCTCGCCCATCAGCTCAGCATATTGCTGCAATGCGTCCTGAGCGCTGGGGCGCAGATCCGGGTCGGAGGAGAGCATGCGCTCTACTACGGGGGAGAGGATGGTGTCGGAGTACTAGTGCTGGGGTCAACTTACGAGGTACGGTTAGGAAGTGAGACACTCACGTCAATCGCTGCAAACGTCTGCCCCAGTGCCCAAACGTCAACATCGAACGGGTTCGTTTCAGTCTCTTCCTTTTCCTTTTCCTCTTCTTCACCCTCTTCGTCGGCGCCCTTGCGAATAGCCAGCTCAGGTGCCCCCCTGCTTTCCTGAGGCCAATCGAATACCGGTGTCGCTCCAGCTGGAGCGGAAGCAGCAGTCAGCCGATGAGAAGATGAGAAGTCCAGCAGCTCGTAGATGTTGCCATAGGCGTGTTCGGTGACCAGTATATTCTGCGGCGAGAGATCGAGGCAGGTGATACACAGCGAGTGGAGGTAGACGACGTACTACGATGTTGAAGGTCAGTAATCTTCATGGTCGGATAATGAGAGCGCATACACGAAGCATCTGATGCATTAGGTTGCTCTTCTCCGATCCCCATTCTTTCATTTTCCCTTCCTCCCTCTCGGCCAAATACAAGCCCGCAACATCTGCCTTCTCTTCAACGCAAACCCATGCCCACCCTTCCCGCACCAGTAAACCTAAGCCCTCGCTCACTGGGTTGTCGGGATGATACCGCCTCCTCTCGCCTGCTAGCATCCTGAGCAGTACAGCTTCTCTGCAGCTTAAGGAGAGGCGTTTAACGAGCAGGAGAGGATCGTCCTGGTGCGAAGGGAGGAAATGGACCCATGTGGGTTCGCCGGTGCTGTCGGTCCAACAATAGTCGTCTTGGTCCGTAAGGAGCTGATTGCAGGATCAACAGGTGTCTAAGCCCTCCTTGGAGCAAAATAACGGACCTCGACAAAGGAATCCTGGTCTGGCAAATGCCCGACATGCCCCGGGCTATCCGGCCCCTCCTCCCTTCCAAGTGTGACGATATCCCGAGTACAACAAGCCACCCGACTAGGGCGTGCGCCGTCCATTACGTCCAGAAGCTTGGAGGTGAATTCTGGCGAGTGGGGGTCCAGCTCGCGTTCTCGAACCTGGACGAGGAAGACGTCCCCCCCATCCTGGTATGCCTCCTGTTCATCTTCGTCCGCACCGTCGTCGAGTTCGTCCCCAGCGTCGTCAGCACTGGTATCGAGGTGGTCCCTCATATCGAGGTCCATCACCTCCCCTTCATCTGACCCTTCGCCGTCAATCGGACCCCAGCTGAAAGCCGTATCGCTCCTCACACTCCCAGTACCGCTTTTCCAATTCCCAGCGCCAACAGCACCCATCACCGGTCCCAGATATCCTATCCTCGTCAAACGCATCAACTGGGGGCCCATGCGCGTCAGGGGTGCTCCCAGTTCACCGGCCCAGCCGGGATCGGACAGCGTGCGGATGGAATGCAGGGAGCGAGCTGAATCTGAGCCCCTTTCGGACCCAGAGCGAGAGGAGAGCGCGACATCGGCATATATGGTGCGCGTGCGGGTGAGGGCGGCCATCAAGGGGTGAGAGGGTGACTCGACCAGATGGTCAGAGGTAGACGAGATATATTCCTCAGATTAGCAGATGATAGAGATACAGCAGAGTGGTTGACAGTGGGAGAGGGACAACGCCCTATTTTTCGATGAAGGAAGAGGGATGTAGGGGGCGGTAATATCATTCAGCGAGGAAGGGAGGAGATGAAGCATATATAGGTCTCGGGCGGTTCTTCCCCACCACTGCCTCTGGGTATCTTCCATCTTCCATCGGGCCCCCATCGCCCAGCACAGTTTGTTATCGCGTGTCCATCTTGATCTTCTGATCTGTCCCTCTCCCCGTCCTCTCCTTTTTCTTTTCGTTCTTTGGTTGGGCGGTGTACAAGGGCGGTGGACGTCGCCCCAGGTTGCGGGTGACGTGACGTGGTTGGCGCGCACAGGGGCGGGGCGCTCAAGGTGAGCACGCGGCACGGAGCCCGTTCAGAAAGGGTCACGAGAACCACCAACACCTTGCTTGACAGCAATACAAATTCGACCTCCATTTCCATCCTCGATATTTCCCTTTTTACCCCGCTATCGGCATATTCCGATTCCACATGCCTCCGCAGCTGGGCTTTTCTTGGCAGTCTCGGACTAGCCCGGGAAGGTAATTCTCGGCAACTGTCCTATGTTTGTTTGTCTAAGGCCTGGATTGTTATGGTGTACACACCGAGCTTAGCATCTCCACCCCAAACTAAATTATTCTCAGTGACAGAAGGGACATCGCAGGGGTCTTAGGGCCGGGTCATTTAATCTTAGTTGGAGCTTGGGGGTACTTCGTTTCCTGTCTTCTTCCATTTTCCACCTCTCTCGGCACAACAACCCAATATCATTCCGGTATCCAATGCATTTATCCGATCTCATTCCGGCACTATGACAAAACAGGTCTGTCAACTCTATAGAACCCTCTTGTGATCGAGACTGATCGGAAAAATCTGGACTTTCTAAGGGCTTGTGCACCCTTCATCTTACAGGTTCGGTGCCGGCGGACCGGTGCCTGTTAATCCTTTGATGGCGAGACGTATCTTTATGACAGTGTGGAGGCTCTGTAGAGACCAGGCAGTGTGGTCATGTTCCTGCGTGGAAGATGAGTTCCATTATAAGCTAAACTTTTTTCTTACATTTCAAACAGCCCGATTTTACATCCCATTCGACTGGGTATATTTCTGTACCGGTTTGAAACGTGTTCATGTCACCCAATGCTGTCGTCGATTGCAATAAATATTTTAAGTATCAAGGAGTCAGCACCCACATGCATATCTGTCTGTGTCTGCACCGGATCTCAAAGAAGATGCAGCGAATTCAATCCAAATGACTAAGGAAACTGCCGAACACACTCACCACGCAACGCCTACAATGCTTGCCAATCCTCAGGATACTGCTTGCAAAGAACATTCACCCGGATCCTGGGGCGTCCTCCTGCCACTGCCCTTGAGTCTCCTCCAGGTCCATTGGCGGTATCCTTAGAATCGGCGTGCACCGGACTTTTACCAATCTCCGCAGTACCAGACAGCAGCTCCCTGGTCGAGGAAGGCGCGATTTGCTCCGATCGGGTACGATCACCCCTATCTCGGCGCATCATTTCTTCAAGCACGCTATGTCAGTACAATATCAAGCACACGTGTTCCGGGGAAGGTAAGAAATCCCGGCATCCGCTGTGGTGGGATATGGTAGCCATATCACGCTCGTCACCGATTGCGTGCTGCCACACCCTCATGCCCACAACCTTCCATCTGTCGATCATCTCTGGAATCTTCGTACATGGTGTATCGCGATCGGGCCGTCGCTACTTCGACCGCTGAACGAGCTGTGGCATGTCATCCCCTACGCCAGCAGAAGACTCGGTCGAATATTTCCCCGACATGACTCGACCTTTTCCCGGGACAGCAACATCTCGGTCCCAACTCTGCGCTCGGTAGACCAATATTCTTTTGCGGACACTTCCGCGTGGGATAGGCTTCGCGAATCCTTTCCTTATCCTCGTCTGCCGATTATGGAGCCGTCGCTCGCCTGACAGCGTTCGAGAAGGACTGCCCTATTGTTGCTGTCTAGTCGCCCGTCTTTACAGGATCTGAAAGGCGACGGACGTGGCAGAGAGGCGCTGATCCTCGAAGCGGGATGAGAACATGTCTTGGCGCCATAAATTGGTTATGGTCTTTATCCAGAGATTCTCGTGTCCATCCGGAATGACAATGAGGCTCCCTGTTCTTTTAAGGCAAGTGGGCAACTCAACAACTATTGTGGTGTTCACCCATTTGAATTATCTTGTTCTTTCTTGTCGGAACTCCACCACAACGCCACATGGTCTCCCCTGACCAATGCTATGGTTGAATTCGCGGTACTTTCACCGAGCCAACATCCCTAAATTTTCGACACGTATATGGTGCGTGATGCATCGCTCCACCATTCCAAGATTTCGAGGCTTATGGAACAACTTTTTTCTCTGGGCTGTATACCTTATAGGTAAGGTGGTCAGCCTTCGGATATCTGAGTCAGTCACTCGGCGCACTCGCGGGTTCCCATATGTGAACTTGAAAGAGTTCCCATGTAGACACAAACATAAGTGTGCGTGGGTGAGAGTCCTATCCTGGAGATTTGCTGAAAGTTTAGGCCACGGACTGAACCGATTTGAACACGGGGGGGCGTGCATATATGGTCCGATCCTTTCACGTTGAATGACCTGAACGAGCAACTACGCGCCTAGTATTCCCCTTACGTCAAGTCTACTGGGAGAGCAATAACAAGGGTGATAATTGGTTAGGAAGCACTTGTCACAGATGGGGCACTAGAAAGATATTATCATAGATGGGGCACGAGAAAGATACTGGCGACCAATCTCCAATATGGTTGCGGGGTATGGTTGCTGCTGTATCCTTGTAATGGGATGGACAAGCGGATCTTGTCGAAATGTGTTCGTGGTCCGTTACAGATCGTCTCTCCCACTGCAAACGGTCTTAGTAATCTAAATACTCATACGTCGTAGGAAAAGATGCAGAGCCTCTTGGGACGAACCACCATTGAAAGTATTAGATGTTGGCTACAAGCGACCACCTGATAGATAACTTGCATATTTTTTATTGCCACAGCCGTTCGTGTCGTTCGTGAATCTGAGTAGTACATTGTCGTTTCAGCTACGTACACATTAAACTTTACCGTATAATGCAGCATCTCGTACATAGTCCGCAATGCTGCTGGTGCACATAGAGCGCCAACCATCTTCTCCATTGGCGATTGCATCTCGGATTGATGTTGAACTGTATCCCCCATAGGTGCCAATGTCGACCATGACAACCTTGCCATCATCCACCCATCTCTTCACGACGTCCGTTGCCAAGAAGACTTTCTCTTCATCTTTCGTTCCGTCTCCTCGCCGTGCGCAGATTACACCGCTCCCATCTCTGTCGAAGAATTCCTCGAGCTGGTCCTCCATTGCATCCATACCTCCGTAGTATCGAGGAGCAAACAGACGCAGAAGTGTATCCCATCCTATGCCAAACCACATCCGTATATCCTTCGTAGACTTGCCGGACTCCTTTCCAAATGTCTGTTGGATGACGCGACACTTTCCAACAAACGTCGGCTCGTCAATGATGCCGACAGCAACCCGAATTCCTGGCTGCGACGCCATCATGTCGTGGGCAAGCAGAATCATCATCTCCACGCGCTGGACGTACGTCGCGTCCGTTGGTGTCAGTTTCTTATCCGCATTTGTGACGGACAACAGAAGCAAGTGCGCATCGAATGGAAAGGTAGAATCAGGCCGGCAAAGGAGTGCAATAGAGAGATGGGCGAGGGTAGGAGGGTTGAATGATGAGTCGAAGACGGAGATGATCACGTCCTCCTGATCATCCGCAGGTGTGGGGCCCATATGATTTTTGAACGGCCAGAAGTTATCGCTGCGAAAGACGATCTCTATTGATCTCTCTTTGGTAGAATGAAGCCGGTTGATGGCGTCCTCGACAGATAATTGTCCAGTCATCTTTAGTGTAGTACCAATGTAGGCTCAACACCGTTTCAGGGCCCAGAGTTCCTTTGACAGTGAAGGAATGTGGTATTATGCAACCGAGTCTACGGGTCTGACTATTAATTGTTACAGAGATGTATGATGCATGATATACAATACAAGTGATTGGGATGCGAAATGAATGAGCTCTATTCATGTGTGCCTTGAAATGGGCGTGCTCAGTTTATGACTGCGAGTCAATGTGGAGACCGTGATGCACAGCTCGCGCGCTTGTGCTGAGAATGTACATCGACCAGCTAGAACCGATCTTGACAACTCAATGTACAGGTTGTTGGAAAGAATAAAATGGTCTCATACAGCAACAATCTATGTTCCTGTATTGCCCCATCTCTTCCAAACAAAGTCGTCGTGGGATGTGTCCGGATGAACTTGAATGCCCTCATCTACCAATCCGGCGGTAGAACGTGATGGGTCGATTCCAGCTGGATCTGAGAACGACCCTGATTGCGGAACCCAGCCGGCACCAACAGAGGTAGCAACGAGTGTAGGGATCATAGTGAGCAGAGAGGGTCTGAGCATCTTTCGTCAGACGGAGGCCAGCAACAGGAGCAAGTGTAACTTACAATCGAACACCTGCTTCGTCCAGCTGTGCACTCCTGCTCTTAAGGACAAAGGAGGAACCCCGCATGCGCCCGCCACGAATGTTAGCAAACGTGTTAAGGTTGTCGCGAACCTTGTTGATCGCCGGATTCCAAGTTTCCTCGCTTTCCGGCGACTGCACTGGTAGTACGGTCGGGTCCTTCATCAGACGGCATCGGATCATGAGCTTCTCGACGGGCGCGTTGGGAATGAAACGAATGGCGACGCCAATCGGTATCGACATGACACCTAGGGCGATAGAAATGCCCCAATCCCGTCCATTCATAGCTTGTACTTGGAAGGCGGCGCCCCCGACGAAGACAATAAGGATCTGAACGCCAATTTCTATATCACAAATTAGGCAGATACAAAAAGGAGCATTCGACTAGACTCACCAAGGAGTGTAATGGCTATGAAATACCAATTAGAAAGGAGACCTTCGAAGATATTCAACTTGTTATCGAGGCGTCGACAATTGATTGAGTTGAAGATCTGAGCGAAGACAAACGAATTGAACACGAGGGTGTCGAGTTCGGCCTGCTGAGCCCGCTGGATAGATTGATCGGTGCTATTGTAACCGAAGATCCCGTTGCCGGCAAAGTGGAAGAAAAGAACGATGAAAGTTTGGTACACAGCTTGACCAGCGATCATTTTGCTCATTTCCACGGAGAATAGTGGGGCTGTCTTGCGGTCTGGTTTGCGGTCCAGCAACGCCGGGGTCGCCGGATCGGTGGCGAGAGCGAGGGCAGCGAAAGTGTCCATGATGATGTTGATCCAAAGCAACTGGACAGCCGTAAGAGCAGACGTTTCGCTTCCAGACACGACGGCTGTGATAAACGTAACGATCACAGCAGTAATGTTGACTGTCACCTGGAACTGCAAGAATTTGCGTACAGCATCATTAACACAGCGACCCCACATGATTGCCTTGACAATGGACGTGAAATTATCGTCCATGAGGACGATATCGGACGCCTCCTTAGCCACCTCTGTGCCGGTAATGCCCATAGAGAAGCCAACATCAGCGGTCTTCAAAGCAGGCCCATCATTTGTGCCGTCGCCAGTCACACCAACCACCTGTCCGAGAGCTTTGAGCTTAGTAACAAGAATCTTCTTATCTTCCGGAGATGATCTCGCAAGCACCTGCAGCCGAGGGACGATCTCGTCCTTTTCTGCCTCACTCAATTTGCGGAATCGAGGTCCTTCCATGATGATACCTCCAGCAGTGAAGATCCCGCATTGAGATGCGATTGAACGAGCGGTAAGCACGTTGTCACCAGTGCACATCTTGACATCTACACCAGCCTTGTGACACTGAGCGACAGCAGCCTTGACCCCCTCGCGCAACGGGTCTTCAATACCAGTGATCGCAATGAGTGTCATATCTTGTGCAAGTCGGCGCCAGGAAACGTCCTTCTCGACATCGCCCCTAGCATGGAAGCCCGGAGGAGGCCAAGATTCAAAGTCCCGATAACAGATAGCGATAGTTCGCAGCGACTGATTGGCATAGAAGATGATGGTGCGCTGGATGTTCTCCCGAGTATGCATGTCGAAATCTGCAACTTCGACATCCTCATCCTTGAGAGTGGTATCATCCTCCTCTCCGCTTTCCTCGTCCAGCGGCTTCGAAACGACGACATGGCGATTACACAGTTTGCTGAGGATCTCACTTGCACCCTTGACGTAGAACCGGTACTGGCCGTTATCCAACCTGACAACGATGCCCATTGCCTTGCGTTCGCTGGAGAAGGGGATGACCTGTACCGTCCTCGTTTCAGCCCATTCACGAGCATCGCGATAGTCGCCCCAATTGAGATCCTTGATGAACCGCAAAAGAGCCGTCTCGGTCTTCGATCCGACGAAATCCATTTCCCCTGTCTCGTGGTCGGTGTCCTCGAACGCAGTGCTGTTGATATTGATCGAATCTGCCAGCAGCTTCCTCAAGGGGCGCTTGACGACCCTGCTTAGCTCCTGGAGGTCGACAGCAAAATCGTCCTGATGACGCTCGCGGCGTTCTTGGTCGACTTTGGCGCGGTCCTTGTTCTCATCTAGCCTCCGGACGAACTTGGCTCGGATGCCAATGGAGCCAGCAACGACGGACATGACGTTGGTCGTGAGCGTGCCGGTCTTGTCCGTGCAGACGACGTTGGCGTTCGCCATCGTCTCGCATGATCCTAGCACCCGGACAAGCAGGTTCTCTTTTGTCATGCGCCGAGTGGCGAACGCAAGCGCCAAGGTGACCGCTAATGGTAGTCCCTCAGGAACAGCAACGACAACAATCGTGACAGAGATGATAAGGATCTGGATGAAGCTCATAGCTTTCTCGTTTGCCGTCCTAACCCGATCAGCACCGCGCATATATGCAACATAATCCAACACACCTGTTCGGATCCGTGTGCAGCTGCACGAAGAACTTGATCATCAGAGCGCCGAATAAGAGCGCACCGGCCAGACTGCCCAGCTTGGCGATGAGCTCTGCAAGGTCGTTCAGCTTCGATTGGAGCGGGGTGTTCTCTGAATCCCCGGACAGTGCTATAATACGATAATAATGAGTAAATTACGACTCTTTACTGCGGTGAGAGTGCTTACAGAGCATAATCCTCCCGTGGAACGAGCGTGGGCCGACGGCGATGACGATGTATTCTCCGACACCCTCGAGAACCTTCGACCCTGAGAGCATGAAGCAGTCCCTCTTCTTTTTCTGGCCAGGCTGGAGGTTCTCATGCTCCCCCCAACAATCCGCGAATGGGTACTTGCGGATCGCGTCCGATTCGCCCGTTGCGCCAGACTCGTCACATCGGAGATTATGACACCGTACGACGACGCCGTCGACAGGGAGGATCTCGCCTGGCTCCATGAGTGCCAGATCACCCACAACAACATCCTTGATGTTGATGAGCATCTCTCGTCCCATGCGGATGACCTTGACCGATCGATCTTCCTTCTTCTCGTTGAGCTTCTTGAACTGGCGCTCTTTTTGCCAGTCGTTGAGGCTTCCCACAAGGACGACAATGAGGATCGCGATGACGATCGCTACGCCCTCTACCCAGTCGACGCGGGGCTCGACACATCCTTCAGGTGGGCAGCCAGCACCTTGGAAGCGCTCGGGCGGCGTTCCGAGATCTTGGTACAAGCCAAGGGCGAGGGAAACGACCGCAGCGATGGACAAGATTATCTAGATGCTCATCAGCGCTTCCCTCTATATGGTAAGTATGGATAAGCACGCACAAGAACCTTGTCCTTCAGCGCAAGCCACATGAGCAAAAGCAAGCTCTTGCTCTTCCTCTGGGGAAGTGTGTTCTTGCCATATATCTCCTGCCTTTTACCCAAATTTGCCGTATATGCAGGGTCCTCGTGTTCGTGCGCCTGTTCCCTCTCCTCCTCCTCGTGTTGGCGCTCACGCTCTCGTTCTGCCACAGCCTCGCTCGCTTTGTCCTTCGCCACCGTCTTCTGCCCCTTGACCGCCAGCGGAGGGACAACAACCGCACCAACAAGCTGATCTCGTCCCAAGCCTCTCTCTCGATCCGTACCCAAGCCTCTCGCCAGCCCCTCAGCCCCACCAAACTCATGCAACAACTCCAGGTTCTTCGGGTCCACAAGACTAGCCAGCTTGACAGGGGGGAACGCGAACGGTGCAGGGTTGTCAATCTCCTTGCTAGCGTCGAGTGCTTCTCGCTCATGCTTCTTCATCTTCTTCCCAGGTTTTGTATCCCCCTCTGAGGTCCCTCCTGGCTCTGTCGCCGTCCCAGTGTCGCCAGACATGACACTGTTAGCTATAACGCTTCTCTGATCCGAGGGACCCAGTGTTCTCCTTCCAGAGCCAGAGAGAAGACTACGTGGTGAGCTAAGAAGCTCACCCAGTTCAGCACCCTCGAAGCTTCCCTCCCAGCTACTGCTCGCGAACGTGTTCGTACTCGGTCTGCGCATATGATGTGCGCCCTTGGTAGGCGTGTTGAGCATCGCGAGACTTGTGAACCCGCTCGTGGCATCCGGGTGGTTATCCCTAAGAGCGACGGAGGTTGTAGGTGCGAAATGGACTGAACTCGAACGGGAGATGGTGGAGAGAGCGGGAGAGGGTGGGGGTTGGTAGGGGGTCCCACCTAGTGCTCCGGGAGAACCAGGAGGGGTGATGGGGGAGGGAGGACCGGAGCTAGCTGTATAACCAAAGGAGGGGGAAGGGACACGCAGACCATCGGACGTGCCTGGTGATGGGGGTGTATGCGGGGTTGGGGAGGACGTGCTCGCTGATGAAGGGACGCGAAGGAGGTCATCAGAGAACGGCGGTGAGAGGCCTCCGCTCTGAGGTGTTGGTGAGAGGTTTGAAGGGTTGATATCCGGTGGGGAATTGCTCGCTCTTCGCATCACTCTTTGCTGTGGGGGAGTTTGCGGGGCATCAAGCATGACACCATAATGGGATTGTTCCGGGATTGTAGAAAGTGACGGTCTTCGCGAATGAGTAGACGCGGTAGGAGAGTTCTCCTCAATCTCGACGCGTCCGTCCGTCGGGTCAGAAAAGTTGATCGATATACTAGGCACCATTGGCCTGTGCCCTCGGGTGGTGGTGGTGGTGCTCGAGTTGGTGTTGTTGGAAGTCGTGCTCGTGCTCGCACTCGCACTTGTGCTGGTGGAGGTACTGATACTGCTCGGATGTGGGGAAGAACGACCTTCCCCTTCCTTTGCCCAGTTGATCATGGTTGGGTCTGTTCGAATGCAAAGTTCGAGGGGGATAATAAGACTCTGCCAAGAGTGAAAATAAACAGATTGGCTCGAGGATGACGTTGTTAGCGTGCTGTTAGCGGCGCAGTATTGTGCTGACCGGTAGTGAGAGAATCAAGTGCCCGACGAACAGCGACAGAACAGAAATCCGGTGCGGTAGCTGTGACGCAGGGGCGGGGAGGTCGGTGTGTGTGCAGCAACCCCGTCACTGGTACTAACGGCGATGTAATCTCCGTTCGGTAACTCGTGTTTGGCGGTGCGAACTCGTGCGAAATACTGCGAAAAATGCGGCGCTGATGATGCTGAGGTTGGTTGTGCCTGCGTGACTGTTGGCGGGCACAATACGGTTGAGAGTAATGAACGAATAAGGCGTGTTGAGTGTTGTTTTGTATGTACTCAACAAGCAATGCCAAGTGTCTAGTATCCCGCCCTGTTGAGGCCTTGACTTGGCACGTGTCGAAAATATCGAAGCTTGTGAGAGGCCGGGATTCCCCTGCGGGAAATGACACAATGCCGAGCCAGCACAGTTAAAGAGTAAAGAGTGAAGGGAAAATGTAACCAGATCTAGCAAAAGTATTTCAGGCTGAAACTCTAGTAAAAACGAAACGACATCTTTACGAAACTAATTCTTTATTCCTAAATTATCTACGGCACAGATCAACCTCCCCACCACCCCCCTTTCCCTTCCCAAGACGACCGTTGTTCAATGTCCCATCCGGCAGGCACGAGGGCTTATAATGGATTGGCACCGCCTCCGGGTTTGCAATTTTACTTCCTTGCACGTGTTTCTTCCCTCGAGGAGGCTTGGCACACGCACTGTTCCAACGCCTTCTCGTACCATCTCGGGCGAATTATCTCTACAACAATACAAATCGGCCAGCGCCAGTACTGTGCTTATAAGCTGACACCTTCCAGCGAACGAATATATAGTGGATCAACTCGCCTCTGAAGATTGGTTAGCTCACTCCAGTCGTGCCACTTACGCACCACTGGCACCACAACACCAGTCAAGCCACCGGCCGGGAGTGCGGGTCGCCTCAAGCACCTCGGTCTCAAGACGTGAGCTGGGCGTAAACGGTATTCTTCCCATCAGCTCACGAAGTTCTCGACACGCCGAGAGACTTCCGTATTCGCCCACGGCCCCTTGGGGAAATCAATTGCGCGATTGTTTATTACCATAGTATCATTGAGCGACACAAGTACCATTGACTGGGCAGATCGACAGCAGAGGGCGTATCCGTATCTCTCGTATCTCGGGATCTGCCTTGCTTTTCCGGCGTGCGAAACGCTCGTCCCAAGGTTCGGAAAAGGAGAAAAGAAAAAACGTTCCCAAGCCTACCAAGCGCATTGGCCCAGCAGACTCAATTCCTGATCGGACTGAGCGTCTTGCTCCAAGCCTGACGGAATTCTGCGTTCGAGATAAGGACGTTGAGGACTGCGGAAAACATCTGGAATGCGTAGTCAGTCAATGATCGAGAAAAACATCACACGAGCCGGAAATGCGGGAAGTTAAACCTTACTGGATGGAAGATACCGCCTGGGGTAGACCTGGGAAGCGGGTAGAACGTGAGTAAAGGATGATAATCCCTGGAGAAAACTTGACAGAGAGTGACGTACCAATGAATACACATAGGAAGGTAGTACATTTGCAACATGTAGTCATCCCTCCAGCGTTTGCCCCTCATCCGCAATTCAGTTCCACGCTCGGAGTTCTTCTCTTCTTCTGTCATGGTAGCCGCCTCCTTGTCCAACTGTTTAGCCTCCCTAAATAGGTTAACGATCTGGAGGACGACCCAAACGCTAAACGAGCGCATAGACCAGAGCCCCAGCACGTCCTTGGTGCGTTCACTCACGCGCACAACCCTGTGCGCGGCCAAGTAGTAGGCATGTTCGAGCGTGTAGTATCCCAGGAGAGAGAGAGACTGCAGTGTCGGGATCAGGGGGTGGGACCGTGCCTTGATCAAGCTAAGCACTGTCGTGTACTGACCGGGGAGGGCTATTCAGATCGGATAAAGAAGAATGAACAGGGGAAGGAACATCATCATTTGATCAGCCTCCGGCCATTCCCCGTGCATAGGATGTTTAACTCACCCGCAAACCGGAAAAGCATGCGTGAGTCGCCGATCGCATTTGTCAGGTTGGACAGCTTGTCCGCCAACGGAGATACGCGCGACCCTATAAGGAAGAGGTTGTATATGTGCCTCGTGACTTCGCTCCCGCTTGTGATGACGGCCTCGGTCCTGTATGTGTAATAGGGCCTAGACAGGCGCAGGTAGGCGATGAACAGCTTTGTCCAGCTTTCGATCAACTGTGGGCGCGTCAGTTATCATACTGTCCAGAAAATTCTGTACTACGCAGACGCCGTACAGAAAATATCTTGCTGTTTGATGGACGCGATCAGGACGGACGATGACTCACAACAGGGGACTACGCACTCAGTGCCCGAAGCAGTGCCCAAGAAGCTCACAAGCACCTCCATGCCCTGCTGGGAAAGCATCTTTTTCAATAGGGCAAGCGTCTTCACTACCTTCTCTTGAGCATTTGCGACGACTTTAGAGGAAGCCATGACTCGTAGAAGATGGTGGGTTGCAGAGAGAAGCTTGTCCCCTCGGGTCGCCTCAAGGCTATCAGATGCTTGGGGGCGAAAGTGTGGGGTTACCGGTGCCGAACCGGTAATAAAGCCAGGTCTTCTAAAAATCACGAGTTTCAAATGCCTCCGTGAAAGCTCCCGCTGCAGGGTAAAAAAGTTGGACAGAGCGCGCGTCCCTCTTTTTCCTTCGAACAAACCACAGGGTAAGCTTGTGCCCCATTAACAATCGCAGCTCGTACTGACATCATGAATAGGGACATCAAAGTTCGGGCTTGGTCCATGACTCTGTCATTTCCTTGTCCGCGTTCCCGTCCCCGAGACGGATCCTGCGCGTTCGCATCGCGTCGCCGGTCTTCGCTTCCCAGACCATGCTCATGTGCCTGTTGATCTGCCGTGTGTTGGATGGAGGCGCGGGCGAGAGCCTGGACGCCCATGAGTACGGTGCATGGCAGGAAGGCGCATGAGGTCTCTGGGGGCGGACCTACATCCTTCATTATCTTTCTGCTTTGGTTATGAGATCTAGGAAGCCGCTGAATTTTCCCGTGGTCAGTAGCCGTCTCAGTTTTCTACATCACTGCGTGTCCTGTTTATTGCGTTAATATTCAGGTAGGTGATCCCACCGTCATAGATTGTCATCTAGATAGTTCGTAGGAAGGTAATGAACCTGGTAACCCATCATGAAGTTGTCCTTCGTAGCGACGAGACATGCAGCACGTACATATCACCACCTGAAATTGCAATAAATACAGGGGGGGGTAAGATGACAGGGAAGAGATCCGTATAACAGTGGTCATCTACTGCATATCATTGTCCAGTGAGCATACAACTTGTCCTCGTCAATGCACCGAACCCCTCATACACTCCGGCGGGCCTGCTCCTGCTCATGTGTTCTAGCCGCCTCATCCTCGGGGTACTCGGGCGGCCTTTCCAATGTTGCCTCTTGTTCAAGATATTCCTGATGAAGATGTCCATTCAATAAGGCGGATAGACTTGACACCAGATCGCCCAGATTCTGCCGAGTGGTCCCTCGCCGTACAGGTGCACGCGTTTCAGTCCTCGGAGCTGCTTGCTGACCCGCTGGATCGGCATTTCCATCTGAATCCTGTTGAGGTAAAGGGTCCGCTTCCGAATTATTAGCGCTTGTCATTCGGCCAGCACGCTTTCTCGAATGTTGTTCGTTCCCTGCAACTGCCGAGGCGCTGACCGAAGCAAGGTCCGAGCTCGTCAGTCGCCCCAGTGCTGGCGTGGAATTTGATGCAACGCTTGCAGGTTCATTGGGCACCCATGGGGTCAATCTTGAGAGAGTTTCGTCCACGCCTTCGTCTTTCAACGCCCCGATATATCGTGTCGAGCGGAGTTCCTTGTTCGATCGCATCCACAAGATACTGAGCCACGCAACCAGTATAAGCATGATGAAGAGGAGCCCTCCCAGTACTCCCGCGACAATCGGCAAGGCAGGAGATGAGCCGTTCGAATTTCCACCGGTTGTATTCAGCGTTGCGAGCATCGCATCACGAGTCGAAGTATCGTCCATGATAAGTGTTAAACTGTCCAACGCAACCATCACAGGAGCACGGCATGTTTATCATCAGATACTCTTCCGTATATCGTGGATCGTAGTTCATCAGGGTGATGGTGTGTGACTGCGTGGGATCGAGTCCTCCGGCGATGTACAAGATGTTTCCAGAGAAGCGCCACCAATAGTCGGTGGCATTACCTCGGAAGACGTCGTTGTCCAGTGTTACGGTGTAAGGTCCAGTTACACAGGTCGATAAACCCCGGAGGATCAAGGCAGAAGCGCCTAAGCGATGTCAGCTTCGAGCGTAGTTGGAGGGCGCTGAACTACCTTGAAAAGTGTAGGATACGCTGTTGTTTGGACCGTAGTTGGCGCTCGTCTGATACTGACCGTCCCACATGTACTGGTCTGTTGGGGTTGTCCACAATCCACTCCACTGCCAGGAGCTATCTGAACTTCCTATGACCTCCGTTCTCTTAGGTCTGCTCCATGCATAAACACGTGAATCTCCTCGTCTGTTGTCTGCTCACCCGGGTTGACCAGCACTGATTGTAACCGTGGCACCGTAAAAGCTTGAAGGGTCAAGATCGTCGACGGTGCCGATTTCCAAGGTTGCGTTATGTGCGCCCAATGTAAGGTTCGCAGCAACAGCCAATATCCCTGCCTGGCTTCCGTATATCGAGCATGCCGGGTCCGGTAAAGGAGCTGCGGTCTGGAGCCTTTCACCGTCAACGAAGAGCTGCCAGGGTTTCGTAGTCGCAAAGCACATGTATATCGCCGTTCCTGCGTGGGCGACATCAGGCACTTGCCCACTTGGCACGAGCTCGGAGCGTACCGGTAAAGTTCAAACTGACTGTTGCCCCATTGAGCTGCGTCGTCCGAAAGGGAACGCCCACGCCGTGCCAACCATCCTGTTTCCCCTGTCATTGCGGATCAGCGTAATACCCTTCACCAGTGTATGTAGCTCACAGATAGAGCATCCTGCGCAGCTTGATTAACTGATATATCAGTGTAAGATGAATTCCATGCCTGACTATGTTAGGGGATTTCGGATATATGCTTGAGACTGGGCTCACTGTGGCAGAACTTCCTTCTCGAATCGGCAGATACCTTGTTCATTTTTTAGCAAAGTTACGAATACCCATCTATATGACTCACGTGAACAAAGAACTGTAATGTGGAAGGGTGATGTTGTAAGGTTGGAAACTAAGCGCCATGACTGAGAGTTGCTCAACAGGAAGAGAGACCAACAAGCGCTGGCTGCATGAGTGAAGGCTCCTCGTCGAGGTTAAGATGGCTGCCACGCCAACCACACGTGATGAATGGTAAAATAGAAATCATTTTCTGGTGACAGCAGACCAATCAGCAATGTGACCGCCATCAGAGGTGTTGTTCCCAGCAATTTATTTCGACGCTTCTTCGGAGCCAGCGAAAAGGGTCCATCAGGTGTTTTCTATGGAATGATATTCGATTACGCTCAGATTTTGGACGGCGCTCATCGAGGACCCCTGAACATGCTGCCGAGTTGCCCATGAAAATCTCCATATTACATATAATTGGCGAAGGTCCGGAATCAAATAGGTGCGGCAGTGCAAAAGTCTGAATATATATCCGTTTCATCATTTGTGACTTTTTTTATGCTTCAAAGCATCACCAAAGCGCAATGTAACATGTTTACATAGCTGTCGCTAGAAGTAACCATTAATATTATCGAAGGTACTTAGCAGTCGCCGGAATTGCTTCCTTTTGTGGCTGTGCAAGCATACCACCAGGAGGGCATCCAGGTTTTGGGGCACGTCTGGACTCTGGACTCTGGACACAGATGTCAGGGTCCTAAGCTTAGTAATTTAATCCCGCTCCGCATCAAGCAGGCAGGGCAGGGTGCATTGCTCAGCAATTCAATAGCCAGTGCTGCCTAACACTGAACATGTAAGTCCGATAGATATGATTAGTTAGTGCTCTATCTAGACGTTGTGTAATTATTAATTTATACTACTACACAAAAAACAAGAAAACCAAAGGACTTGGAGGACATCACCTCCAAGCCTGTCTATTGTATTTCTATGCAGTCAATTCACCAATGACTACAGTTCATGGCCCTTCTCTTACTCTCCCTCTGTCAGGGCACCAGCTCATTGGTTGGTCAAGGGACATGACTAAGCCTTTATGACATGGAAGTAGCTGGTATACCTTGGCATGTGCTGGAACCTGCTGGAAGGATTGGATGGTCAGGTGACCTGCTGTGCATGGCTGTGCATGACCTCATATGACCTCATCCTTGGTCATATGACCTGATCACCTGACTAGGCTGAGTAAGCAAGATGTTCTAGCAGGTTCCACCACAGAGGTATAAATATAAGGCCTACTCTGCCT